CTTTCCCATCCAATAACACTAATCACCTCCCTTAAATCTCTCTTAAATTTGAGATTACCGGTTCCATCCTTTGTGAATACGATAAATAAGTTTTTTTGTATTAGGTAAAAAGAAGAGGGGAAAAAAAGAGCATTTTGAAGTGTGTCTGTACATATCGTACATGAGCTCCCCTTAAATATTGATTGAGTGGCCATTACGAGCATTTGTCTGGTGGCACTTAAAAACAAAGGAGAATTACAATAAGATTTAAAAAAAAAAAAATTACAAAACAAGTTTTAAAGTTGTCATTTTTTGTTTTAAAATTTATCATTACAAATAGCTCAAATTGTAATTGAAACTTTTTAATAATTATTTTTTTAAATTTGATTGTAATTCTCCTTAAAATTAATATCGATTTGTCTTTGTTCGTCAAAGTCAATGATATGAGGTCGCCGTTAGTAGATATGGTATTGTACTATTGTTTACTGTTGTGTGTATTGATTTATTTTCTTATTGTGATGTCGAGTTGATTTTTTTTTTTAATTAGTGCATTTCGACGTCTTGTCATTGTTTTTCCCCTATTATAGTTAGGTTAGATTACCAAGAGTTTTACTTCATGCTGAGGTATCAATATCTTTTTAAACAAATCCAGTCAAAATAAATAATTTGGGCAATCAATGTATATATAGAAAAAAAATATTTTAAAAGAAAGTAAGGGAGATTGGTAAGATACTTGAATCATAAGTTTGTTTGATTGGTAGCATATAAGCCTGTTTGGATGGACGGTTGGTGGGCCAAAAGGAGTTTAAATTGATGATAAACCTTAAACCCGTTCGTGGAAAGAGGGAGTGTTTGGAAGAGTTTCTGGAGCACCCCACTTCGGCACCAAAAGTCAGATCATACTGTGCATTCTGATAAGGAGGAGTTTTTGCCTTTTCAATCGCGATTAATAACTTGGAAGACAGAAAGAATGTGGGACCAGGACTGCGTTGATTGTTTTTATCCATATCAAAACGACAAACATACAGAATTAGCACTGTGCATTTCATTTATTTATTATTATTATTATTTTAAGGTATGACATTATGGGCATATGATACAAATTTAATAAAATTCATCTTCAGTTGTTTCACAATTAAATTTATTATTTCAATTATAATTTAAAGAACTCTATTTTTACAAATTAGCTTATTTAGAAAATAGTTAGGTCTCACCTTTAAAAAATTTACTTCTTCATATTAATTTAATTTAATTTCATTGTATTATGTAAAATCATTTTTTTACTATGTTTTATTATTTATTAAAACTTATACCTATTTTGGTAATTTTACAATCAAACTTACTTTTACTTAATCATAATTTAAACAACTTTTTACTAACATCACTTTTACAGACTAACTTCTCTAAATTCCAATCCAAATACAATTCTGTTTATCCAATTTAATATATGTTTGGATAAGCATTTCTGGACCCAAAACGTGCTTAAACCTGATCCAATCTTATTTATAGTTGAAATCCCTGTTTGGATGACCCTTTAGTTGGTAAAAAGCATAAGCTGGGGAGAGATGCTTATGACTTACGGATTAGTGCGTTGGCTTTGGTAAAAAATCCGGGAAACATCTATTGCAAATTTGCCTTCTGGTTCTTCTCCCTCATGCGTTGATTTTGTGCATTTTCAAATTTTTTAATAACACAATTTTCTAAAAAGTTATCATATGATAAATAACTTTTTCTTAACGGTTTTTTAAATATTTTACCATACGTAAATGTAATATACAGACACGCATACGTGAACATATGTATTACTCCCTCATATTCATATTATAAATTAATTAAATTCAATGTATTATATAAAATTATTATTTTAATTATGTTTCATTATTTATTAAACTCACACCTATTTTGATAATTTTACAAACAAACTTATTTTTACTCAATCATAATTCAAATAACTTTTTACTAATATCATTTTTACAAACTGACTTTTTTAAATTCCAATTCAAACACAATTCATTTATCAAATTTAACTTTTACTCAATTTTACTCTTCTAAAAGTCAGATTGGAAATAAATTACTTCTTTTACTGCCATTTCAAATGGACCGTTAACTTTTACCTAACTTCACTTTTTAAAAGTCAAATTGATAATAAGCTATTTTTCTAATCACTGATCCAAACGGACCCTATGACTAATGCTCTATCTAGTCATTAAAAGAGCGGGCGAGAAAAAGCAAAGCTTATGTTTATTTTAAATTAAATGATGAAATTCCTATCGTCTCGGTTCAAAGTCGAGTCTGAAACGTAACGCACATATATATTTTATGTCTGGGTAGCTCCCAAATGGACAAAAATATTAAGCCGTGTTCAACTTAATATTCCTTGCTCATCTTTTTCAATTCAAAAACGAACAATTAATTAATTATTCAAATGATTCTTACGTGGTAACATGAGACGCAAGAGTTTTGTCCGATGAGTTGAACTTATGGCAATGTCCAATTACAGTATTACACCACCACGTCAAATAAATGCATATTACATTACTTAAACAAAGGGATTTCTCTCGGAAAATCGATCGATATGCGTGGGAATATAGGAACTGGATCATAATTCGTTAGAAAAGTTCAAGTTTTGTTGCATTCAAAACTAGAAATGGTCACGGAGAGGGGGACATCATGGTAATTCATCGTACTTAAATTTAAATGTGCAACTAATAATTAATAATTTATGTGTTCCGTGGCTTAGGTAGTCCCAGGCGCTTACAGGTTACCGTAGCAAGGTAGCCGAAAACATAAATTGAAATAGTAAAACACGTTTTTTAATTGGTGAAAGCGCTTTTAACTTGCATGTAACTAAAAGTTAGTTTGAAAAGTTATTTATTTTTCCAATTATGTCTAGCATTATTTTTTTTTCCTGATATGCATGTTAGCCATGTTTTAAACTCTATTCATTTATTAATGAATGAGTATTTATTGCCACTATTTTCATCTACTCCCACTTTTAGCAATTGACTTTGAGGGGCGAAATTCGAAACCTCTATTAATTGCATCAGTTTTTGCTTATATTTAAAGTTAAGGCCAATAAATTTTGATAGTTTTTTATTAGATATGAAATGGAAGGAGTATACAAGCTACTTTTTTTTTGGTAAAAAAAAAATACAAGCTACATTTTCGTCCACGTTGTAAATGTTCCGTGTACGGAAAATATTTACACTTGACAATTTATGTCCTATTTCCTATGAAATCGCCATATGTTTGAAAAAACAAGGTCCGCTTTTGAGTCACCATGACAGATATGTGGAGAACGCTGCTATCCTGTGGAAAGTAATAGATATTTACAACAATTATTTTTCTCAATCGTTATTGTCTCCGCTCAATTAAGAAAGATTTTTGTAGACTTTTCAATTTCGTTGATTAATATTGTTGCCGTCGCCATCATATTTGTTCGATATTTATCTCTATTTATTTCTAGTTGTTGTTTGGTGTAATATGCAGATCAAACTAATGTGAAAATTTGAAGTTTAAATGAGCTTAGCAGTGTGAATATAATTCATCTCTCAATGGAATGGATGCAGGTATGTTCAGCACTTCCGGGAGAAAGAGAAGTTGGCTCACGGGTATTGAGATCAAGCGCGGCCGCATAAGTTTATTTGGATAATAATTTATTGTGGTGAAAAGACATTTGCCCATTTTTTGTTCAGCCGGCGAATAATATGAAGTTGATGTTTGTCTGCATTTAGATGCAATATCAATTTAATGACTTTGAGCTATTTTAGCCTTGATATACTTTACCAACTAGTGAGATTGGTGACACACGGGCTTTTCAAGTAATAGTGTAATACTTCCTTTTTTGTTTTTTGATCATGCTTAAGTAATACTTTTAAATCTTATCAATCCGTAATAAATATGAAGTATCTGGGTGCTGATTGTTGGGCTTGGGCCCTCATTCTTGTACCCAAAAAAAAAATTATCTAGGTGGTGACTGGTTGGTGAAGCAATTTTTTCAAGCCTTGCTCCCTTCAGTTCATTCTCGGCTGAAGATCATGGCCAGACATGAATCTCGTTTATCTTAACTGCAGTTTGGTTCGAGGTCGGTTTTTTTTTGGGGGGGGGGGGGGGGGGGGTCGGGGGACAAGAAGAAATTTATTGAAAAAATTACACTCAAGTCCCACAGAGCACAATTAATATCAAAAAGGTCTCTCAAAATCACGAAATGATTCTGAAGTCTCCAAGGACCTGTGTGTAATTAATTCTAATTGTGAAATTACCTACTTACCCCTGTTAATTTTATTACAGCAATTCGTTTACAATCTCAACAGTGGCTGTTAACACCCGAGAAGACGTGATTGACAACCTCGGCAGTGCTCATGACAACTCACTCTGTGGAATGCCAGGGGCGTTGTTGAGGTTGTTAACCACCTCTTCTCGGGTTGTTAACAGCCACTGTTGAGGTTGTAAATAGGTTCAAATTAACAGGAGTAACTACGTAATTTCACAATTAGAATTAATTACACACAGGTCCCTAGGAACTTCAGAATCATTTCGCAATTTCGAGGGACCTTTTTGATATTAATTGTGTTCTGTGAAACCTGAGTGTAATTTTCCCAAATTTGTTTTGGCCGAGCTGTGTTACGAAGGTATTTTTACCTTTACCCTTTTTTATTTTAATTTGGCAACTGTGTTTTTTTTCTTTTAATTAAATACATGTCCGGTCCTTAATATAAGATCCATTTAACTAATTTGATTAAATTAAGGAAGTGAGGTAAGTTAGGTAATTGTAAGAAATGTGACACTTTTTTCCTAAAATATCATAATCATCTTTCTTAATACTCCATTTTTCTCTCATACTTGATTATGATTGAGGAAGTATCCATAGGAGTAATTTAGAGAAAATTGATAAATATGATAAATGAGTCTTATATTTAGAACCAAAACCAGCTCACCAATTGGGTCCTATATTAAAGACCGAAGGAGTACTTAAATTTTATTCCGTAAGCACCATAAGCTCACGTAGAGACTAATGATGATAACATAAATTAAATTCATGCATAAATTCGCTCGGCGAAACGGCTGAGCTTGCAAAAGTAGCACTTTACAGGACTTACTAGGCTATTAGAACTGCTTCGGGGACGTCGATCTGAACTCATGTTTGTGTAATTGCAGCAGTTCGCTGCCATGGAACTATGGAAGACAGCACATAAGTGTGCAAACCATATTTCTAAGCACTTCGACTAACATCAACTACGTGAACTTAAAGTGTAATAGATGACCCTAAGAAATCTATACAAAAGCATACATGGTTATTGCTCTATAGGTTTATTACAACGGGTTGACCCGAGGCATATGAATAAATAAATGAAAACAGGGTAATAAGGGGTCATTGTTCAACACACAGGTCAATATACTTTCATAGTTTACGCACCGTGAATGCTGGTCGGCTCTACCTTGGCCTGATGGTTGGCTCTACTCCACTAACTAGCTCGCTACCAGTACCAGACATATCTCCCGATATAAAAGGAGTTTTGCTAACAGAGGATGAAGATGGTGAACTGAATAATTTCCCAGAATCACTGGATATATATTCAGGTATCTTGGCATTGAACTCGGGCATCATGGACCACAGGTTTTCGAGCTCTCGAACCACTTCTGCCATTTTAGGTCGTGCATCTGGCTCGTCTTGGCTACACTTGAGAGCCAGGTTCAGGAACTTCTCCAGGTGCTCTGAAGGATAGGGCCCCATCCGTCTATCCATCACCGAGAATACTTCACCAGATTGGTATGCAACAGTAATCTGGAAATGGTGATTAACATCAAGCACTTACTACACTCGTATCTTGAACATATAAAACGATCAAGAAACACTGCTTTCACATATAAATAAATTTAGTTTGATCAAATATCTACTTTTCTTGGGGGGGGGGCGCCTAGGGTAAAAGTGAGCACTAACAATATCACCCAAAAAAATGTGAAGACTGACAAGATGATTGTTGGATACCACCACCGTAACAGAATCAATTCCATGTCTTGGAAAAATAGGAAAGGGAACAGATATAATTGCTAAAGCTCAATTGGCAAAAATGTCCAGGTCGGATTTGACTCGCATGCATAAGGATAAAGAACGAGAGCGATATAGCAAAAGGGGAAAACTAGATGTTCTATCAGGCAAATGCGTTAAATCTATTAAGAGTTAAACCTTTTTGCCCCGATCATGCATAAATTTTACCCCAACTTGACCCAATCACACATGGTGGGAACAGAAATTCAAGTCCGGCTGTGAGATATACCTCTCTAACAAGATTTTTGCCATGTGAGATTGGTGGTTTCCCCGTCAAAATTTCCAGAAGGACAACACCAAAACTATAAACATCACTCTTGTCAGTCAACTTATGAGTTAAAAAGTACTCTGGATCAAGGTATCCCTGTAAAATTAAAGCAGCGAAGAGATGGTCAGTCACTGAGTAACATTAACCTCGCCTATATGAAATGTGCTGGAATAATTCGTGGGAAGTAAGGATACGGCTACGGCATATGCAATTTTAGCCAACTACAATGACGATCTTACCGGGGTTCCCTTTACCACTGTAGATACATGGCCAGGCACTATTCCTTCAGTATCTGGAACTGGAGCAAGCCGTGAAAGTCCAAAATCAGCAACTTTTGCATTGAGCCTGGAGTCCAATAATATGTTGCTGGCCTTGACGTCTCGGTGGAATACTGGAGGATCAGCTTCCGTATGTAGATACAGAATGCCCTTGGCTGATCCTAGTGCAATCCTCAATCTCATACCAAAACTCAGAGGTTCTTTCGAATAAGCTGTTGTAAAAACATGAAATACATTAGCAGAATCTCTTTGCACATCAAATATCAAATATTGGAACAAAATTGGGTGGGAAAAACTTAATAGTTTCTGTTGTTTCATATCATAGCTATCAGATTGAGGCCAACAAAAAAATATCATAGCTATCAGTAAAATGCAATGAAGTATAAACATCAAGAAGCCAAGGAAGCATACAGCAAATTTAGATAGTGAGAACAAGACATATACCAGAAAGATGATCCCTTAGCGTGCCATTTGGCATGAATTCATAAACCAGCATCTGCAATTATAAGCAGCAATTTGAAATAAGGAAGAAGAAAAAAATCCGAAACAGCCGAAGAAAGAAAGAAAAGAAGATTTACATGAGCACGTGAGTCATATAGTCAATTTTCATAAATTTAAAACAAAACGCACCTGTTCACCTCTTTCATCACAGTATCCGACCAAAGTCACAAGGTTGCGATGATGTAACCTTGATAGTAATTCTATTTCTGTTAGGAACTCCCTCTCACCTTGCAGTGATCCCACCTGTGCACGTTTTATTGCTACCACAGTGCCATCGGTGAGAATACCTCTATAAACTTTCCCATAGCCCCCTTGGCCAGCTTGACTGGAGTCACTAAAGTTGTTAGTAGCCAAAGCCATTTCTTCAAAAGTGAAGCTCCGCACGCCCTCAATTTTTATTGATATTCTAGAAACTGTGAATAAACAGAAGCCAATGTCAAGACTTGAAAAATACTTTCAACTCATAGTTCTAGATTATTTTGTCATGCTTCAGCTGCCAAGTACAAGGTAGAAAAAGAGTAAATATGGTTTATTCTTAATCTTTATGAAATTGGATGCTCTTGCTTCACTTTGAACGACAATTAAAGAGGGAAAAAAAAATGTTAATATGGCTTCGACAATATAAAAATTTGCATTAAGCCATTAACACCAACGCTTATCATTGTGACCTGGCAATTGGGACAAGTCAAAAGCAATATAGTAAATATAATACACTAGCTTGTTTGAGAGAGGTACTCACATTGTCGCTTTGATGAAAGAGTTCGGTAGTCTCTGATCCGCGCCCTCATGATAAGAAGAGTCACAATTGTAGATAACGTAACTGCACCGGCAATTGTTCCTAAGATAATGCCAGCCAGTGCACCCTTGCTTATCCCTGAACTTGTAGCGGGGCCAAACAACACTGCGACAACGATGAGAAGTACGAGAATTGTCATATAATTAATTCATACATGGATAAATACCGGAGATATTATGCAACAACGTTTTTATTGATGGGCTCAAGTGACGTTAAATATCCAATTTAAAGGGAAGCACTGTTTGAAGTTACTCTGACCCCAAAAAAATACAGCATAATTTTTAACATAGTATATCAATCATATGGCTCTCCGAAATTGTCACAGCAAAGTTATTACATGTTTTTCATAGTATTCATTCAAGCATTAGAACGAGAAAAATTTAAATATACTTCGAGAATAATCAAAGAGATGCCACTAGTGAAGCCAAAATGTCAACCAAGGCTGACTTTACCCAGCTACAAAGCAACATATGACAACTAGCAAGGGAGCTAAGCCAAACTTGCGAGCATAGGTTAAGTCAGAGAAATCTAACTTGCTTCAAGGAAGCTAGGGAATAAATTGCACCGTATGAGCAGAAAACATTATTCAATCAATTAAATTAATATATATTAGACTCTTTCTTTTTTTGGCCACCAATTTATACTAGACACGAACACCAATCTTTCAACCAGGTAAAAAAGTTTCGATCGCATTTTCATAGTCAATATGATGACGTATGCATTAAATCAAAAAACCAAGCATTCTTGCATATCATAAGTAGTTTCTGAAACTCACTATCCTTGTAAGGATCCAGAAGAGTGAAGTTGAGCAGTTCATAAGGTCCGAATAATTCGTTGTCTGAAATAACCCATCCTGCGAACATGCTATAGAGACGAAGAACCTCGCTTTCATTGAAAGTCTGGGAGCTTTTGCTATCAGTGGATTCCGGAAAAAGCTTCAAGTACATTTGCAGTCGAATTGCTTTCCATTCTGGGGTGCCAATATCAACCTGGTTATTCATTAAACTATAATTGGATGCCAGGAAGTTCTCAAAATCTGTCTGGTATGGATTAAAATCGGAAAATCCAGGACTTTTCAATCGATAGCCGATGAGCAATGGCGCTGCACAAAAACACTTTACGGAAGATGTCTTGGAATATTCAAAAGGAGGAGGGCATGCTTGAGGGGGACAGTCAACACTGGAGTCTGTTAGACTCAAGCTGTTTGTGTCATTAGCACTTGCACAGAGCTGAGCTAGAGTGTTATTGGAACAAAGAGGATTTCCATCAAGCCTGAAAATCATCAAGGTTCATATAGTCACATAATTAAGTTATACTGGATGCAATGTATGATTAATTTGATGTGGAATAAGTTTCAACCTTTTGTAAAAGAATACAACTCTTTACAAAATCTGTAACAGTGAGAGTGAAGACAGAATTCTCCATTACCCAGATTTTGGTCCCAAGAGCAAAGCAACTTAAGAATCATACCTGAGTGTGACGTTAGCAGGAAGATCAATAGCGCCTGATATGCTTGAAAGATTATTATTTTGAAAATCCCTACAATATCCAAGATCACAGAACCATGCTCAGTAAATCGCGAGTACCAAAGTCCGTATGTGAGGAAGATTTGGGAACTATCGTATAAGATCTTACAAACGCAATTCATGCATTCCATTTGAAGTCCGGTTCTGCCAAATGGCGGAAGGAACACTGCCATTCAGTGAATTGTTTGAAAGTGACCTGACATGGGAAATCATAGGTGATAAAATAACGATCTATTATCCTGTGACTGAGATAATCAGCAATATCAAAAAACAATAACTTCTCAGCCGAGAAATCCAACAATACTCGATTTGTAAGTATGATAGGGTGGTAACGAGTTTATTGCATTTCGCTCGTAGCATGAAGAAGAAGAAGAACGAGCAAGACAGAAGATAACTTACAATAGTTGAAGCCTAGGGAGACCAGAAAAGTAGGATGGAATAGTTCCAGTTAGCTTGTTGTTTGACAAATCACTGCACAATTCCTCAGGGTCAAACATCAGAAGTATAGAATATCTAGGTATCATATTCTTTAGATTTGCCAGAACTCAAAATACTAGTAGACTAATCACACTTGGAATCCAAATAATTGAAGGCCTAATTAGTTCATTAGAGCGATAGAAATTCTTACATGGTGGTGACTTTATCAGAAAGCTTATTAGAAGGAATCGATTCATTTAGTTGATTGGAACTGAGGTCACTGAAATTTAAACAAAGAGTAGTTAGGAGAAGAAATCATACTGTAGTGAACTATCATTAACATATGTAAATATAAATACTCACTGTCAAAAGTAATTTCTCTCAAAGAAATTTGATGATTCATCAGTTATAAACTAGGTTGAGGGCAAATTAGTTTAACTTACAGATAAAGAAGGTCTGGTATCCTGCTGAAATCAGGGATTGGTCCTTGCAAGTTGCAGTTCCTAAGGCTCCTGGAAGCAACAACAGAGTATATTAACGGTCAACCTTTCAACCTTGACATTTAACCTTTCCAATTAAGACTTCCTTTTTGCGATGAGAGTACAAAATAAGGGGCAAGGAGAAGATGAAAAGGAAGATGAGACATCCTCCAGATTATTGACCCTAACAACTCCATGTTTGAGTTTGGCATTACTCATATAGTTGATCAACCAATTTGTCTTGCACCTACATGTGGTTTTCAGAAGCATTTTTATAATTATACTTTTTTGCCTTTTGCCCTTATCTTCTCTTCTTCCTCCCACCCTCGCCCTCTTTTTAACCTAACACTTTCTCTTTTGAATAATTTATCACTTTTACATGGAATTGTATGAGAAATGACAGAGGTTTTAGCATCTCGACCTCAATCATCATACTTCGGAGTTAGGAACCTACTAATAGACAACGGGTACAAAATGTACTTACAACTTCAACAACGTTGAAATGTTACCGTATGAATCTGGAATGGTACTCCCGCCAAAATCATTATTATCAAGCTGGCTGTGAGAACAAGATTGAAGAAATAATCTAATTACTCCGATTATTCAACAAGTAACATCTATTAAATTAGCCAGTAATAAGAAAAAAATTATAAGAATTTTTATACTAGCAAAGATAGCAAACTTCATGAATTAGTATATCATAATTACAATATTGAATCTTTGGCAACGAAGCTACTTTCTCTGTTTTCTACTACTAGACACTACTCAATTCTCTTCTCAATTTTTCTAATATTTCTGCGCTCAAAGCATATCACGATTTTGCAACATAACTGAACACACTAATTCACATCTAGCATTTAACTACAATAATTGTATCTAATCAATAACGATTCAAAATTGGACAAATATGAGCTATCTAAAATCTGTTTAATCAAAAATCCAGATTCCAAGAAGGTTTCAAAGAAAATTAAATTGCTAATCGAATTTAACACCAGGTAAAGAGAAGGAAAATGTGGGCAGCTTCATAAAGACAAGGAGCGAAGGTTGCGGTGTCAAAAACTGTTTTCACACACATTAGAAAAGAAACCATACATTATGCGTATCTTTGGAATCTGGGAGAGCTCGTGCGGAAGATCTCCTGATAACTTGTTATGGTCAAGAAGGCTGCAGATCCAAAGATACATCTTGTGAACAAGATAAAGACATGACAATTAAGGATTAAACAGAAACCCAGAAAAACATGTTAATGCAACTTACAGGTGAATAAGGCTTGACAAACGGGAAAGCTCTCGAGGGATTTGTCCAGTAAGTGAGTTATTGTTCATGTGACTGCTCCATTTTGAGAGGGCAGGGTGAGATAAAGCATGAATTTTCTTGCCCTTTTTTTTTTAAGAATAACAAAGGCGAAGGAATTCAAAAACAAAACTGAGATAAAATGCAAAAATGGTCATTCTTAAACTGTATTTTCATAATAAAGAACTCACAAGTGCTGTGTCTTGTTTAGGTTTGCAAACGATGCAGGAATAGGTCCTGTTATATAGTTCTGATCAATTTGCATTCTATTCAGATTTGGAAGATAACCAAGCTCTTCGGGCAGCCGACCTGTTAAGTTGTTTCCATTCAGAAGCCTACAAAATGGTAAATTTAACATGAGAAGCCAAGTAGTTATGATATACCCTAGGTGGTAAAATCCTTGTAACTTTATAATCATGCCAACAATTAAATTATTTTCCCTCCATGAACCAGTATTAGAATTTAATTTGCTTAAACTACACATAACTTCTGGCGTAAGAAAATAACTTGTTATTTAACATTATGTTGGCGCATAACATGCGGCTCAAAAGGGAAGGCTCAACTTACAAGAGTTGCAAACTTTTGATGTTGCCAATTTCCTTTGGTATGCTCCCACTTATATTGTTCCACATAAAGTCCCTTTCAAGGTTGAAAGAAAAACATGTATCAGGGGAAGAAGGAAGAAGGAAGTTATAAGCCGCCAAAGGGTCATAATATCTAGATTGCAAAAGCAGCATCTCGGAAGTTAAAATTGAAAATTGTTGTCATATGTAAAGAGATTGCATTCTGGACATCAATGAAAACGCAGTCTTACAATATTTGCAGATAAGATAGGTTTCCAGTCTCTGGTGCCAAAGTTCCAAACAAGTTCAAATTCAGTAGTCGCCTACATACAGACAAGAAAAACATAATAAAAAAGGGAGCAGCAACAAAAGGATGATTCGAAAACAAATGTGTGAAAATGATAATTAAAGATCTTTCTTAAGTTCACTTATCTTTAACGGAAGCTGGAAACTGAGTTACTTTTAGTTTGCTCATGCTCAGAATTAAAGAATGTTGGTACAATAGATAAAAATTAATTGATAAGTAAGAATGGTAGACGGTCAAACAAAAAAATCGTTCTCCATGATGTCCAAATTCATCAATATATGTTGAAAAAAATCATCGTACAGAAATATGCACCCTGACGCAAAGCTGCCAACTTTAGCGGATTTAATGTCCATATTCAAAATTTATGTCGCATAGATTATTGAGAAAGCTTTTTCCCCTAGCACCAACTATTGTGAATCTATTTGCACCTGAACAGACAAGAGGGATACAGGAAATGAAGGAATAAAATCATACAATTCTTTAACATGTAAATGATTATCAGCCACTGTACTATTGAAACAATGAACCCCTCTCCATTGAGATGTACATGGATCTCCACTATTCCAGCTGTTCAGATTTCCATTAGGATCAATAAGACTCTCTTTGATGGTTTTCAATGCGGCAACTGCAAATCAATGCAAATGAAGTCATCGTTCCATCAATGTAACTAATACACATTGTTTGAATATTGCAATGACCGTCTTTTCATCACTTAATACGTAGTAGTTATTTTTGCCAACACATCACTTGTACATGGAACAAACAGTAAATAAATATATTTTTCTAGGAATTCTTACATCAAAATCAATAATAACTCCTATAAGTGATGAAAACCAAACATGATGTCAATATTGGATATGGCGGTTACAGGACAAAACTAGATATTCTAGATGCAATTGTGCTGAAGCTGCAAAGCATAATTCAATAACAAGCTAACGATTGCCTGTCAAAATTATATTATAGCACCTTCTGTTGATTTATTGAAGGAAAGAATGAAAATAATATCACCCGACTTTGCTAGTAACTTTACTTACTGAGGTTTTACGCAATAACAATGCTCAGAAACAGACCCAAGAAAATGGCGTATTCATTTGGTACTACGCAAGATCTACCTCTCCTAGAAAGACAACCATGGAAAACAAGATAGGAGGAGGAACAAATACCTTCAGCGGGGTCAGTGACAGAGTTCTGCCCTGTGGCCAGAAGCAACCAGCAGCAGAACCATAAGCTGAATACAGCTTCGCACCTCCAGACTTTCGAAAGATGCATCCCGATAACTAGAAGTCGCCGGACTTCTATTGTATTTCTGAAGAACCAAGTAAGCAGGGCAGGGGTCTGTGATAACAGCAAAACAGTTATGAATTAATATTCAAAATGAACAAATAAATACATAAAAAGCCATTGGTGAAACTGAAGAGAATCAACTACCAGACCTCTTGGGCCAAATAGAGCTACCCAATCCCAATTTCTGTGTGGCAGATGAAACCTGCTAATTCGCCAAAATAATTCTTACTTGCAATGCTGAGATTATATATGAAGTAGATAATAACAAATGAGCTAAAGTTAAAAGTACCAGAAGAAAAGGTAAACATCATCTAGAACGACCGAAGTTTGAAACCGCAATGGTAGTAAATTTCTGACCAGGCAGCAAATACTTAAGGAATTATAGTCGTTGTCATTAGTTAAGATTGCCATCCCTTTCGTCACTGAGGACGCGATACGCAATTTAAAAATCAATAAATAAAGAGGAGAGCTCTCATCTAATAGGATCGTGGCTTTGACTTCTGGTAATTGAAGAGGCTGTGGATAGAATACAGAGGCGTTGAACACCTCAACATCATGATCAAATCAATAACCATTAACCATAAAAATGATAGGGTTCAGATAGGCCGACTGAAATTTTTGGCGGCAAACTGGGGGCGAGGCGTGGATGAATGAATCATAACAGTAGTAGTAGTTCTTTTAAATTTTTAAGTCTTTTCAAAAAGAGGGGAAAAAATGCCAAAACTTACACGGGTGTCTCCCTACCTGAAATGTTCTAATTGGACAAGTGGACCCAAATGTAGTTATAATCTTCTTGTTACATATTATTGGGTTACGCATTTAAAAGTAGTTCTGATTTCTCATCCAATAACACTAATCACCTCTCTTAAATCCCTCTTAAATTTGAGATTGCTAGTTCCATCCTTTATGAATATGATAAACGTATAATTTTTTTTTAGGTTAAAAAAAGAAGATTATTTTGAAGCGTGCGTGTATGCATACCGTACATGAGCTCCCCTGAAATATTGACTGAGTGGCGATTACAAGGATTTGCCATACGGCACTAAAAATTAATATCGACTGGTCTTCGTTCATCAAGGGCTGTTAGTAGATATGGCATTGTTTATTGGTGTGTGTATTGATTTATTTTCTTATTGTGATGTCGAGTTGATTTTTTCTTATTAGTGCATTTCGACGTCGTGCTGTTGTTTTTTTCACTATTATAGTTAGGTTAGATTACCAAGAGTTTTAATTTTTAATGCTGAGCTATCATTTTTTTTTTAACAAATCCGGTCAAACTAAATAAATTGAGTAGTCAATGTATATATATAGAAAAAAATTATTTCAAAAGGAAGTAAGGGAGATTGGCAAGATATCTTAATCATAAGCTTGTTTGATTGGTTGTACATGATTAATGCTTTGTCCAGTCATTAAGAGAGCGGGGGAGAAAAAGCAAGCTTATGTTTGTTTCAAATTAAATGATGAAATTCCTACCGTCTTGGTTCAAAGTCCAGTCTGAAACCTGACGCACAAATGCATAGTATTTTATGTTTGGGTAGCACTCAAATAGACAAAAATATAAAGCCGTGTTCAACTTAATATTCCATTATTCCTTGCTCACCTTGTTCAATTCAAAAACGAACAATTAATTAATCATTCAAATGATTCTTACGTGGTAACATGGGACGCAAGAGTTTTGTCCAATTAGTTAAAGTTATGGCAATATCCAATTACAGTATTATACCACTACATCAAATAGATACTAGTACATATTACAGTACGTTAAACAAAGGAACTTCTCTAGCAAAATCGATACACGCGGGAATATATGAACTGGATCATAATTCGTTAGAAAAGTTCAAGTTTTGCTGCATTCAAAACTAGAAATGGTCATGGAGAGGGGGACATCATGGTAATTCATCGTACTTAAATTTAAATATGCAACTAATAATTAATAATTTATGTGTTCCGTGGTTTAGGTAGTCCCAGGCCCTTACAAGTTAACGTCGCAAGGCGGCCGAAAACATAAATTGAAATAGTAAAACACGTTTTTAATTAGAAAAAGCGATTTTAACTTGCGTGTAACTAGAAGTTAGTTTAAAAAGTTATATATTTTTCCAATTATGTCTAACATTATTTTTTTGCCTAATATGTCCATGCTAGCCATGTTTTAAAACCCTAGTCATTTATTAACGAATGGTTGTTTATGGCCACTATTTTCAACTACTCCGACTTAAAACAATTGACCTAAACAGGGGAGGCGAAATTGGAAACCTCTATTAATTGCATCAGTTTTTGCTTATATTTAAGGTTAAGGGCAATAAATTTTGATAGTTTTTTATTATATATAAAATGGAAGGAGTACACAGGCTACTTTTTTTTTTTTTTTGGTAAAAAAAAATACAAGCTACTTTTTCGTCCACGTTGTAAATGTTCTGTGTGCAAATAATTTACAGCTGACAATTTACGTCCTAATTCCTATAAAATCGTCATACGTTTGACAAAAAACAGGGCCGCTTATGAGTCACTATGATAGAAATGTGGAGAACGCTGCTACCCTGTGTAAAGCAATAGATATTCACAACAATTATTTTTCTTAATTGTTATTGTCTCGGCTCAGTTAAGAAAGATTTTTGTAGACTTTTCTAATTTTGTTAATTAATATTATTACAATCGCCATCATATTTGTTCGATATTTATCCTTATTTATACCTTTCGTGACATTTTTGTGTTGAATTGCCGACACATATCAGGCTCAGTCAAACTTGATGAAATTAAAACAGATGACTAAATCAATATAATTTATCAGCACACGATGTGAGAGCTTGGCGTTAATTTGAGCGCGACCTTATGGCCTGTGAAATAGTCTGACCAGGCTATATATTTTAATTTAACCCAGCTTGACGGGCGTTGACGTGGAACAAAAAGACGTAGTTCATGTTTATCCGAGGCTTAGCAAGAGACCAAGCCAAACACGTGTCGGAGTTACAAGCATGTGATGAGTGTATTTTAAACACAATGCGTTTGATTAGATGAAACCAAAGTTTTGTCCTAGCTTAATTAGCACCATCCATATTTAAGTACTACTTCCGATTATTAATATAAGAGTTAGCTTGATATCCAATTTGATTCTAAATATAAAATATTAATCTATTTTATGTTTTATATGTGTACATTTTTTCAAGACAATCCCTATATTAGTTGCATATGCCAAATATTTTATCAAATGATAGTTATAATTGATACACATTATTAATAAAAGTATTTTAAGAAAAGCAACAGGTATTTATTACTAATAACTAATTTTTTTAATATACTTAAATTAGTGAATCAATTCTTATATTCAAAATCATACTCAGTATATTATTAGTTGCGTTACCATATTGTCATGCAGTCATTTTGGGAAAAGGGGGGAGGGTGTATAAAGGCGTTGGATTAACTTAATTAGACTTGCATCGTGAGTTAGTGTCCTTTCTGTGGGTCTTATTGATCGTGCTTTTGGCAAGCTTAATTAGCACGTCATATTAGGGCGAGATCAAGGAACTTTTTATTGCCAAAAAAGGGGCATGTAAGAGAGTCTGGACCATTAGAAAAGTATGAGTGTTGTCGCGTAAACAATCAGAAATGGTCAGGGAGGGAGATATTAAGGTCGTAATTCATCACATTTAAATACATAATTAATGCTTTGTGTGGTTTAGGTATACAGTTACGATAGCAAGTTTGCCGAAAGTTATTTAATTTGAAATAGTAGGAGGAAAGCATATGTGCCTTTTAATTGGTAAAGGATCAGCGTGCCTCTTCCTCATGTAATGAATGTCGTACATGTTCCCCCTACATATAATTTACACTCATACCTCTTGAATTTCTTTTTTTTTTTAAATAATGAGATGTGATCGATATGAGGAAAGCCATTTCATTGAAAAGGAATAAAAGTTTCAAACAAGTAATTAATTAATAGTTGCAAAAATTATTATTACCTCCTATGCTAATTAATAGCACATGCTCGGCTAAATCCTGTGCTATATACTATTTTCGATTCTTAATATAAGAGTTTATTTGATTTTTATTTTGATCATAAATATAAAACCTCAATCTATTTTGTCTCTCATGTTTATCTATTTTTTTTAAAAATAGTCATTGTAATAATGGTAGTTATAACAAATACATTTGATCAGTAATAGTATTTTAGAAAATACAACACCTATTTATTATAAATAACTAATATAACTAATTCTTTTAATCTGTTTAAATTAGTTAATTAGCTTTTATACCAACGATAGGAGGTAATATAACTTGACATCGAATCAAGAAATTGGTGAGCGTCACGTTGACTGGAAACAAAGTCGTAGTTTATCTTTATCCGAAGCTTAGCATGATACAAGACAGGTGTAATGGAGTTAGGAGCCTGTGTTGAAGTTGCCTAACATTGAATATAATTCGATGCCTCGTGTGTTGTGTTCAATCTCTATTGGTAACTTCTTAACATTTGCGTCACTCCATCACCATAGAGTCGCCGAGTATTTTGTTTGCGAGTCGGACCTCTTGTACATCTTGCCATCACAAAGCCTTTCTCATCCGACCCGTAACCCCCCCCCCCCCAAAAAAAAAAAAAGTAACCGCATTCTCATCCTGGATGTTATAAGGAAGAGCGCTGCTTTCCATACATCTGATATCCGGGCAAAACGATTCATGAATTGCCCAGCAATAAGATCAAAAATGCGATTTTCTTATTCAGGCTTCAACCCCCTACCATATTCCTACTTTACCCTTCTTTTGTATATGATTTTTACTTACTATTACTATACATCCAGCGCCAGATTTTCATGAGAGATTACGGAGGCTCCTTCCCCGCGGGGGGTTGGTGGCTCCTAGATATACTTATTGTCTAAAAGCTGCAATGGCTTCTTTTTAAACTCTGATTTATATCTAAACAAATAATATGAATAAACTTCATCCCTCCCCCATTTAACTATCCTCCCAAATAAATCCGTAGTCATTATCATTCTATTCCTTTCCATTCTCTATTATTACTTCCCTTTCCATTACCACCTCTTCCATGAATCAAAGGGCTCCTGATTGGACAGAAAATCAAAGCAAGAACAAAATATCTCCTCAGGTCAAAACAAAAGAGAACAAAATATCTCCAAAAGAAGCAGCAGCAGACCAGCAGTGCTCAATCGGGTTTTAGAAAGGCCGGTCCTCCAAACTCCAAAGTTACCAACCGCAGAAGAGAAAGGGGCTTGGGAGGCAGAGAAGCTGAGTCCATCAGCTTCATATGGGCTTGGCCCATATAAGGCCCCCACCAACATGGCCTTCCACGTGAGAAACAACCCACTGGGCCATCCCCCCCACGTGTCAGTCCCTGCTGGCACCGCTAATCTGCAGCCTAGTTTCTTCCATCACGGCTGTCCCATGGAATGCTTGCTTCGCCTGACTTCCAATTTCAACCACGGGTCTTCGAGTGGCCGAAACATCCCCGGGGCCCCTCTTACTCATCCCACCTTGTATATGGGCATGGCCATCGTGCCCCACAACCACGCGCTCTCCCTTCACCTTCTATTGTTCTCCCTCCTCTTCGCGCCTCTTTTTCTCATGGCTTGAATTATATATATTGTTTTGTCATCTATAAATCTTATTCACTGATATACAAAAAAATGCTACCCCCGATAAAGATAAGATTCAAACTCTTGGAGTGACAAAAATCTGGATAATAAATTATGATAGTTGATACAACTTTTTTCTCTTTGTTGTGGGTCACAAATTGACTCCCACCTATATAATGTCTATTCACAATTCATCTGAACATACATTAGTACTACCTCCAGTTTTAACTATAATAGCTAGTTTTCAGTGTAGATTATACTACAAATTAATTCTTATATTTATCATCAAAGATGTTATATAATATTCTCTCACGCACTACCAAATATTCAGACTAGGCAGGTTCCAATGAAGGGAATAAAAACTGAAGAGAGACATGTAGGGATGGTAACAAACTTTTGTTGAAGCATGACTATGGACCATTGGAGAGGGTCTCAATTCTCTATCCAGAAGTAGTATATTGTGCATTGAATTTCAACTTCCCTTGATGTGTAAAGTATTTATTATAAGGTTTAAATAACGACAATGACCTGTACAAAATATTCCTTTCGGGAGGGAAAAAATCAATTTGCGAAAAGGTAATATAATAGTTGAGGGGGGAAAAGCAGGTTGTGAGTCACAACATAAGTCCCCACAATCATAACGCAGTCTAGATAAAGCCATAGTACAGTGCTCCATTATGCTAAATGGCGATAAGCTTCCATATCTCTTTATATTAACCCCTAACGTAACCTTCATTTTATCTGAACTACTGCTCTCCCGGGCTGTCCCCTTCAGCCACCACAACCGAACCTTCAATGGCGGAGCCAAACACCTCCAGACGATCCCTTGCCATGGAGAGAACCGGCCAATGGTATTCCTCTCCTGCCACTCAAACCCTCAAGTTTAGATTCCATGTGTATATCCGATGAAAAGAAACGATGCAAATCATATATAATCATACGTACATAATGAATATATTAATTCGTGTTTTGACAGGGTCTTCTCTCAAGATTTACCTTCTGATCTTATTGTCGACGTCGGAGACACAAGTTTCTCCCTCCACAAGGTACCACAACTGTTCTTCATGATCTGTTTTATGGGTCTGTGATTGTGCCCTTGTAACTAGATTTTTTTTCATTGGATAGTTCATGCTGGCGCCCAAGAGCAATTATATCAGACAACTGATAAAGGAATGCGAGGCCAGTGATCTGTCTAGAATCGACCTCTCCGACATACCGGGAGGGCCGAAAATCTTCGAGAAAGCAGTGAAGTTCTGCTACGGCGTCAACTTTGAGATCACGGTTTACAACGTCGCCGCTCTCCGCTGCGCCGCTGAGTACCTCGAAATGACAGATGAGTATTGTCCAAACAGTCTTGCCGGCCGCACGGAAGACTTCCTCTCACAAGTTGCCTTGTCCAGCTTCACCGGCGCTGTTTTAGTCCTCAAATCTTGTCAAAAGCTTCAACCCTTCGCCGATGACCTCAGCCTCGTTAAGCGATGCATCGAAGCTGTCAGCTCCAAGGCTTGTAGCGAAGCCAACTTCCCGAGCCGGTCACCGCCGAACTGGTGGGCGGAGGAGCTTGCTGTTTTGGACTTTCATTCCTTCGGCCAAGTCATCACCGCCATGAAAAAGCGAGGCGCCAAGTCTTCCACTATAGCGAGGGCGCTGGTTGATTACACCGAGCAACTACTCCGAGAAGAAGTAGACCGTAACCAGTCCTCCCACCGGGTTAAGTCGTCAGAAGACGGAACCGAACTAGCCGAGCTTCTTCAATCCATCGTCTCCCTCTTCCCCAGTGAGAAATCAGCTTTCCCAATAAGCTTCCTCTGCTATCTTCTCCGATGCGCGATTACTCTCGGAGTATCGGGCAGCTGCAGAAGCGAGCTTGAGAAGCGGATCTCTGCGATACTCGAGCACGTGACGGTCGACGACCTTCTGGTCCTGTCATTCACCCGCAACAGCGAAAGGTTATTTGATCTGGACAGCGTAAGGAGGGTCATCTCGGGATTCGTGGAGAAGGAGAAGAACGTGGCTGTTTTCAACGTCGGCGAGTTCAAAGAGGTGTACTCCAGTGGGATGCACCGCGTGGCAAAAACGGTGGACGCGTACCTGGCCGAGATTGCCGTCTACGATGACCTAAGCATCTCCAAGTTCAATGGCATTGCTGTTCTCATTCCCAAAGGTGCCCGGGAAGTCGACGACGATCTCTATCGCGCCATCGATCTCTACCTCAAGGTACGGAATAAAATATTAGGTTACCAATCAGAAACGATTGTAGTTACCCAAACGCCAGCGTTCTTGTTTGTTTGATTCTGTAGGCTCACCCGAATCTAGACGAGATAGAGCGAGAGAAGGTGTGCAGCGTGATGGACCCACTGAGGCTGTCATACGAGGCGCGTGTGCATGCATCGCAGAACAAGAGGTTGCCGGTGCAGATTGTGCTTCACGCGCTCTATTACGATCAGCTGAAGCTGAGGAGTGGAGCGGAGGAGGCGGCGGCCACGGGGAGGATTCAGATGCCGACCGATTTGTCGTTGATGAGGGAGAACGAGGAGCTGAGAACGGAGCTGTTAAGGATGAGGATGTACTTATCGGAGCTACAGCACCAGGGTCTTGGAACGACGTCGTCGGTTGGAGGATCCGAATCTGGTCCCAGAAAGTCCACGTTTTTCTCGTCGGTGTCTAAGAAACTGAGCAAGCTGAACCCGTTCAAACATGGGTCAAAGGATACGTCCAGTATAGAAGATGGGCCCATGAATGTGGTGAAGCCCAAAGGTAGAAGATTCTCCATCTCCTAAACTGTTCGTTACTCCCAAGCCCAAAAAAAAAAAAGGGTTTGTGAGCCAAGATCTGAGGGGCATCTTTTACAGAGATTTATTTACGAACCTGTTGTGTTCTGCATTTACGCATGCTTCATTATGTGGGACAATGCAAATAATTACGACTGTGCCGCTTAACGCCTTTCTTATTATTACCTTGATGCACTTTGATATGATATATGGCAGCAATATGTTGTCGTGTATGTAATCACACATTATAAAATACTATGTGTCTAAATTGGCTAGTTTTTTTTTTTCCATGTGAAACATTGTATGTAGTAATTTAAAATATGTTTTTTCCGGTCTTAGTATAAAAACCAGTTAACTAATTTAAATAGATTAAGAAAATTTATTGAGTTAATTATTTATAATAAATAAGTGTTATTTTTTTAGAATACTCTTACTAATAATATGTATTAGCTAAAATTATCATTTGATGGAATATATAATATGTACAACTACTGTAAGCACTACTTTAAAAAAAATAGATAAATATAAGACAAAGTGAATTAGAGTTTTATGTTTAAAGTCAAATTAAATGCTAAACTAATTTTTATATTAATTACAGGAGGCAATATAATTCCTGGATGTAGAGAAATAGTGGGGAAGTCGATACCCGTTTTGTTTAGACCAGCAACGAATGAAAAAACTACGCTTTTAAACACCCTCGTTACTGATGTGAGAAGCCTAACCATACACAGTCTCTTTCGCGGCAGTTAAACGCGCGCAACCATGTCAAAGGATTTTTTAGTTTTTTTAAAATTCGTGCGCTGCCTTTTGTTTATCTCTTATAGCAGATTTTTCCAAGTTGTGGTTGAATCTATTAAATGCATGTAACCAAAAACAAAAAGACATTTTTCTTTGAAAAAAAACCTGAAAATACGCTTTACTTATTTAATTGTCTCTGAGAAGTCAGCTTGAATTCCCACTGGTTTGATCAGTTTTGGCAGCGCGCGCGCACATATATAACTCCTGTGCATTTCTGTTGACTAGACCTTCTTCCTCCTTGGAAGTGTTGGAAGCTGCTGGTGTTGAAGGATCTTGCGGAGAGGATCATGTTGCCGAGTGGTTTCTGAAAGACAATGGCTTTTCCATGTATTGAATATAGCCGCGTCTCTCTCCTATATCTCTGTCAAACAAATGACGTTGATATCAAGAAAGCAACTTTGCCGGTCTGACGAAGACCCAAAATCGATCAGATAAACTCTGAATCAGATCCATGAAATTCGCCACAAACTACTTACATACAGAACCATTAATTCACAGTATATTGAGATAACAAATTAATGAGAACACTGGATACTTTTTCTCCTCACTGTTTCACTCACTGATAAACTTCAACAGTTGATCCCTTTAAAATTTAGCTTGCACATAATTAAGAGACTAAACATCGAAATCCAGCCGTAAAATAACAATATTATAAAAAATAAGTTTGGCGATGAATCTCCAAATTAAGTAGCATCTTCATTGAGTTGGTGGGGTTTTCTGGTAGCCATCTCCACACACTTGTCTTGCGTTGTGGGGTTCTCATGATCACGATACATGAAGTAGAGTAGGATTTGGATTGCCCCTAAAGCAGCACCCACACCATTAGGCACCTGCCATGCGAAAACCAAACCAGCAATGGTGATAAAAACAAGAATGTAAAGAGACACCGGGCTTTAGAAAAATGGAGTAAAAAGAATGGCGGCTTACAGCGACGAAAGGGTCCCTGCCAAGGAGGCCAAAGATGAACCAGGAAGTGCCACATAGGAACACAAACAGTGACACCAAGAACGGCATGTACTCGACGCTCTTTGTTTTTAGTACTATTCTCTGCATTTCATCATCGTCATTATGCTAGGCTCCTCATTTACTCATATGTATCCTTATTTTATCACTCTTATAAAACGTAAAGGGCACTTACAATGATGGAAAGGGGTGGCCCATACATGAAGATGGAGAATATGGCGGCGGCGAGGCCGCAGAAGAGCATCCTGCTCTTGCCGTGAAACGTCAAGAGTGAGACGACCACCACCGCAGAGAACACTGCAAGCGCGAGCGCCAAGAGGCCAACAATTCGGAGCTTCTCCTTCTTCGGTGCGAACACGATGAACGTCAACACGTACGTGGTTTCAATCGCCACTCCCATTCCATTCACCGTTGTTAACAGTATGTTGTGAGGCGACACAAATGGCAAACCATACCTGCACTCACATCTCAACATCATTAGAAAAGGGTTCGTGATTTTTGCACAATGCATGCATGTTTTGTTTTACATGTGTCGGTTCTTGATGAACAGATAAGTTTGATACAAGTTAGAAGCTGTTCGAGAAGAAGCATATATATACCAGCCAGAGAGGAGACAGTTAAGAAGCGTCAAGATGTAAGGAACGCCTGAGAATTCCTCCGTGGATCTGTTCCGTAGAATCCTCTTGAATATCATCCTACAAGCACAAAGTGATAACATTTTCGTCCAAAAAGAGTAATGATCATATGAATACTAAAGAGAATGAGGGAGGATAGCGAATGAAGGAAGTGATGCATGCGTACACAGGAGCCAAGAAGAGAAACAGAGCAGAAACATTTCCTGCAAGAATAATAGAACACAGAGGAATGAGAAACAGGGGAGAGCACAATCCCTACTGAAAAAAACAGGGAGACCCACCGAATATCCCGACGAAGAAACGCAAGAAATCCAACATTTTCAAAGAATGATATGTTCCTTGATAGATTAATTGAAATGAGGGATGGATGAGAAAAGAGAAGAAGCAGGTTACGGTCTGTGGTGTTGGGAAAGTGGAAAAGAGAATAATAAGGTGACAGAGTGTGCTGTTTTGGGAGTAACTGTAAATAGTGATAACTGCATGTTCACAGTTTGTGATCCACACTCACAACCGTTTGCTTCACAGTTATGCAGTGAAATTACGTGCGCGATGGTCTGCTTTGGTTTTCAGAACCAGTTACCATTATCACTGCGCATTTTGCAAGTTTTGTAATATCCAACTCGCTCGCTCGCTCTCGGAAACATAGAAATCTGTTTTGTCTCAGATGAAATTCCTTTTATTGATTGATATATTGTGATATACTATTATTGATCAATGAACAAACTCGGCAGGCTAATTGAAGTGGTGGGTTGGCTGCCCTTGAGCAAATATATTTGTGTATTTTTATGATTGATTATGGGTTCAGGCCGAAAATAAGGATATTGATAGATGGGTTGGGGATAGTCACTTGCCAGCAGAGTCTCCTTTGAAGGGAGGAATGACCGAATAAGTGAGGAGAACATGTTATAAACCAGTCCATGCTCTAACTTATAATATCTTTTTTCTGTACACAAAGATTCAAATATACTTTGCAATCATTTGTCTCTTTGAGAAAATCATGCATGTCAGAAGTAAAATCTGATCACGATTTATTAACGTATATTCAGTCAAAATTATCTACACTCAAAAAGAAAATAAAAAAAGAAAGTCAAAATTATCACCTATGGAAAATAATTAACACTTGATAGGTAATTTTGCTTGTTATACGGGATGCATAAATATAGAAGGAAAAAAGCAATTTTTTTTTCCCTCTGTAATACGGAAAGATAAGTTTTTTTTTTTTTTCCTTCTCTTCTCTTCTCTTCTTTTGGGCCCCATCAAGTAAGTCGGTTTCAGGCTGAACGACAGCGGGAAAAGAAAGCCGTAGTTGAGTAGCTGGGTTGGCGGTGTTTTGGAGAAGGTGATTCCGCTTGTTCAGCTTTAGCTCTATTCTCCGTCGTCCCCCTTCTCTCGATACGAAAGCCTGATTTGATTTCTCAGCCATGGCAGCCTCGCTCATGGTCATGGAATCTAAGCCATCTTCGGAACCACCTCCTTTTCTGCCCTCGTCGAGATCCGATTACCTTCAAAGTTTCGGCGATGGAACCTCTGACGAAGACGATCTCTATAGTCGCCTTAAGTCGCTCCAGCGCCAGTTGGAATTCATTGACATTCAGGAAGAATACGTCAAGGATGAGCAGAAGAATCTAAAGCGCGAGCTCCTCCGAGCTCAGGAAGAGGTCAAGAGGATCCAATCTGTGCCGTTAGTCATTGGCCAGTTCATGGAGATGGTGGACCAGAATAATGGTATTGTAGGCTCCACGACAGGATCAAATTACTACGTTCGTATTCTTAGTACCATCAACCGCGAGCTTTTGAAGCCCTCGGCATCCGTTGCCCTCCACCGCCACTCTAATGCGCTTGTAGATGTCTTGCCGCCTGAGGCCGACTCCAGCATTTCGCTGCTGAGTCAGTCAGAGAAGCCTGATGTTACTTATAATGTAAATTCAATCACTGAATCGTAATTACTGTTTGATAAAAATTTGTTGCTTAAAAAGTGAATTCTAGGGTTTCATTATAACTCAAAATGGGTTTCTTTATTGCAATTCAAAGCATTCAAAAAGAAAGAGAAAAACAATTTCAGTTGCCATTTGCTTAGTGTTCCTTGTGGCGCAAACGAAAAAGTTGATTCTTCAGCGTTTTGCTATGTGATGATCATTTGCAGAGTTTGAATTGGCGTCAATCCTGGACATATTGGTACTATAGTAACGAGTGTTCTTAATATTTGTTTGGAATTTGTTACGTAAAAGGCTATTCAAGCCTTTATTTGGAGGGGAAAAAAGATTTTTGATTACCGCGTGATTAGCATTTGCGGAAGCTAGATGAAAAATTAGGACTTTTGACATTCTGCTGCCTAACTATCAGCTTCAAAATGTGAGTTGGTGTCAATCCTGGTGATGTTGGTCATTAGCAGCAGTTTATTCTCATTGTTTGGAAACTAGAGTTGGGACTATGATTAAATCTCTATCCCATTGCTTGGTCAGCTATCTTAAAGGCCGCAAAGGAAGTTGTAGCTGGGGATGCCCTGAAATCTTAAATATCCCTACATCCCCAGCCAGTGCAAGAAATGCATTTTCTTACACTTGTTAGGATTTTTGTTTAGCATGTGCACTGTGGTCTTCTTAAGGTACTTTTATATCTGACCCTTAATTCCTTATGATAATTTTCTTAGGACATTGGAGGATGCGATATTCAAAAGCAGGAAATTCGTGAGGCAGTGGAACTACCCCTTACTCACCATGAACTATATAAACAAATTGGTATTGATCCTCCCCGTGGTGTATTACTATATGGTCCCCCTGGCACTGGTAAAACAATGCTTGCCAAGGCTGTTGCCAATCATACCACTGCTGCCTTCATTAGAGTTGTTGGGTCTGAATTTGTGCAGAAGTATCTTGGCGAGGTATGATTCTCAATTCATCTGTGGTTGAAGTGATGTAAATGATGTTGTAGTTTACTATGCTGTCTTGGACCATTTAGGAATATTGGTTTCATGTCTGTTTTTATTAATGTAATATTGCTCATTGCATTGCAATGATATCTTTTCAGTTTGAAGATCATGTACGCTTCATGGGTTCTCCTTCTGTCCATGATTATAACTACTGTTCTCTGTTTAGTTTACTGAGTTTCAGATTTGAATTATCTTCATTGATTAAGGGAAACATATGGGGCAGCAATAATCTATCGCAAAATCTTCAAATCAATTGAAAATTTTTTGTTTTCAGGGTCCAAGGATGGTTCGTGATGTTTTTCGTCTTGCTAAAGAGAATGCTCCTGCAATTATATTTATTGATGAGGTTGATGCAATAGCTACTGCTCGATTTGATGCCCAAACTGGAGCAGACAGGGAAGTACAGCGTATTCTTATGGAACTTCTGAATCAGGTATCCATTAAAAAACTATTGTTTTCCACTGCTCTCTCCATCTGTGCGCGTCTTTAATATAATATACATTAATGTTTGGTTTTTGACCTTTTTATGACTTTCTGGTTCTTCTCTTTGATCTTGTCTACTATTCCATGTAGCATCATTCTATCCACTCTCCTACATCAGTGAATTCCAATAAAAACTACATGGACCATGTTGGTTTTAGCTGCTAACATAATTCTATGTTAACTATATTTCCTTATAATCAGATGGATGGATTTGACCAAACAGTGAATGTCAAAGTCATTATGGCAACTAACCGAGCTGATACGTTAGATCCTGCTCTTCTACGTCCTGGAAGACTTGATCGCAAGATTGAATTCCCTTTGCCCGATAGGCGTCAAAAAAGGCTTGTATTTCAGGCAAGGCTTTCTGCATTTCAGCTTGCTTTGATTACATTCATGTTGCTATTCAGTGTTTTTGTTGATTAGGACAACAATATTCTCACTAGCGACAGACTTGAGGGGGTTTGTGTCTCTGCCAATGGACGTTGAGTGGCTTGTTGCTAATTATATGGTGGTGTGCTTGTGGGCAGGTTTGCACAGCCAAAATGAACTTGAGTGATGAGGTAGACTTAGAGGACTATGTTTCTCGGCCAGACAAAATTAGTGCTGCTGAGGTTTGTTTTTCTCTTATATTCTAATTTTCTTATGCTAGGAATTTTATGGAAATACCAGTCCCCTTGCTATGAATTTCCTGATGTCTGATGGCAAATAATTAATACCTCTACCTCTTCTTTTTTTTTTTTTTTAAAAAAAGATTGATCTGTCATCTTATGAAATGGCTTGAACCAACATTTGTTAGATATTTTTCTTACACTATTAAGATTTAAATTTGATTGTGTGAGATTTGTGATCTGGAAGCAGTTGATAGATTCATGTGAATTGAAAACAAAGTTAAAATATAAACTGTCATGTTAGATACACTTGGTAGGAACCCTGTTTTGTATCTGCAGTTTTATGATGCCAAGAAAAGCTGGTCAGATTGGTTAGGATTTGACCCTATATGAGAGTGAGTGCAAGTCCTATTACTAATGTGAGAATACTGTTGGTAATTTTCATTTTTTTCATTAAAAGTTAGACTTAAGTTTTTGCTCTTTTCTGGAAAGAGACATCTGGATGAACAAAGATCAACGCTGTAAAGAGTTAGCATGGAATGTTTTGATGCCATCATTTCATTGTGTTGTTTGTACAAAAATTATAACGAGACGAGTCTTTGGTGTCTGCAGATAGCAGCTATTTGTCAAGAAGCAGGAATGCATGCGGTTCGTAAGAATAGGTATGTCATACTACCGAAGGATTTTGAGAAGGGATACCGGACAAACGTTAAGAAACCAGACACTGACTTCGAATTCTACAAGTGATGATGAGAGCTGGATCGGGATTTAGAAGATCCCAGGATGGTTGAAAGAGGAAAAATATTGTAATCTGCCATTTGTTAATTTGTGTGCTGACTTAGTTGGGCCGTTGAAAGCCATGCACTAATTGCGATATATTTGTGCAATATTAGTATTCTAGAAATCAGTGGATGATTCTCAATTATCTATTAGTGCACTTCCATTCCCATTGTATCATCGTTCCATTTTTCATTTGCGAATTTGACTGAGTTGGGTATCATATCATCGTCCTTGGTTAATCTTTGCCCTGCTAATAAACAATCCATATGGGCACAAAGGGACATCAAAATTAGACTCCTAGGTGCATTCTAATCCAGGAGAGTCGTTATTATTATGGTACGATTGGTGCTAGCTGGTTATCAGAATTAGTGGTAAAAAACTTAAAATATCCTCAGTTTGGATAGCCTCAGATCTGGCTAATTTTTGTTAAATGCTGTCGTGCTTCATCTTCATGCTATTTGCTTCAGCATTTCTGTTTTGTTTTGTTTTGTTTATACGAGGGTAAAGCCATGGTTGCCCTTTTCTGTTTCACCCGTTGTGCTTGGGGTCTTGCTCCGAAAACGCAGATGATGATTTCTGTACGCTTGGGTTTGTTTGCCTCCCGGTAACATTTCATCACCCTCAAAATTAATGAATTCCTATTTCCGGTTTTAAATACTATCTTTAATCTTTAATATAAGATCTTGTTTAATTTTTATTTTGATTCTAAATATAAAACCTCAATCTATTTTATCTCTAATATTTGTGTTTTTTTTATAAAGATAATTCTTCTAATAATAGTAGTTTTGGCTAACACACTTGATTAGTAAGGATATTTTAGGAAAGGCAACACCTATTTATTATAAATAACTAACTTAACTTATTTCTTTAAATTAATCAACTAGTTTTTATAATTAGGACGAGGGGTAGTATAATAACTAGTTAGCTAAATTGAATAAGTTAAAAAAGTTTGTTAAGTTAGTTATTTATACAAAAATATGTGGTGTATTTTGTGGAATATACTTATCAATTTATATATTAGTTAAAATTACCATTTGATGGAATTGTTAACACATATAACTACTGCAAGGACTACTTATAAAATGAATAAATAAATAAGAGATAAAATAGATTGGAATTTATATTTAGAACTAAATTAAAAGTCAAACTAGTTCTCAAACTTTGAGGCGATACTACACATTGCATATCTTTCTTAAATTCGTATGGGGGATGGAGACCAACAGAATATTCCGACGAGGAAACGCAAGAAATCCAACATGTTCAGAGACTGAGATGTTCCTTGACAGACTAATTGAAATGAACGGTGGATGAGAAAGGAGAGGCTGGGCAGTCTGTGGCGTGGGGACGCCGAAAAGAGAATAACAAAGTCGCAGCGTGCGTTGTTTTGGGCGTGACTGTAAATAGTGAAAACAGCGTCCACCGAATTTGTTAGTCAGACTCGGAACCGTTTGTTTTACGGTTATGCAGTGACATTACGTGCGTGATTAACTGTGTTGGTTTTCAGCACCGGTTACCATTACTGTGCGTTGTGCAAGTTTTGTAGTCTCCAACTCACTCCCTCTCAACCAAGGAGAATTGGCTCTAGTAAAATAGATTGGTCCCTCACTAGAGGTTGGTCCCTCGCTTAATTAATAGGATTGCTCCTCTTATAGGAGAAAACATTATTGGTCAGTGACCAACCTTCTGGTGGGGTTTTTTTTTGGACCATTAACTAGTATTGGTATGATTGATTGATGTTGGTCAATAGGTTGGGCCTTGTATCTGAAAAGTAAATGGGTTGGGCCACAGTCGCTTAATAATATTGTCTTCTTTGAAGGAATGCGTGGGCTTTTTCAGTGCTTGGTTTCAGGCAAAACAAAAGGAAAAAAAAAAAAAAGTGACGAAGTTAGTACCTGGTTGGCTGTGTTTTGGGGGAGGCGACTCGATTCCGACTTGTTTAGCTTTCTTTCTCTCCACTCCAACTCTATTCCCCGTCGTCCCACTTCTCTCCGCTCCCACAAACAGATTTCTCAGCCATGGCAGCTTCGCCCATGGTCATGGACTCTAAGCCATCTTCGGAACCACCTCCTTTTCTGCCCTCGTCGAGATCCGATTACCTGCAAGGTTTCGGCGATGGAACCTCTGACGAAGACGATCTCTACAGTCGCCTTAAGTCGCTCCAGCGCCAGTTGGAATTCATTGACATTCAGGAAGAATACGTCAAGGATGAGCAGAAGAATTTAAAGCGCGAGCTCCTCCGAGCCCAGGAAGAGGTCAAGAGGATCCAATCTGTGCCGTTAGTCATCGGCCAGTTCATGGAGATGGTGGACCAGAATAATGGTATTGTAGGCTCCACGACAGGATCAAATTACTACGTTCGTATTCTTAGTACCATCAACCGCGAGCTTTTGAAGCCCTCGGCATCCGTTGCTCTCCACCGCCACTCTAATGCGCTTGTGGATGTCTTGCCGCCTGAGGCCGACTCCAGCATCTCGCTGCTGAGTCAGTCAGAAAAGCCTGATGTCACTTATAATGTAAGTTCAATCACTGGGTGGTAATTGCGGTTTGATTAAAGTTTGTTGCTTAAAAAGTGAATTCTAGGGTTTCATTATAAAATCAAAATTAGTTTCTTTATTGCAATTCAAAGCATTCAAAAGAAAGAGACAAAGAATTTCAGTTACTATTTGACTAGTGTTCATTGCGGCGCAAATGAAAAAGTTGATTCTGCAGCGTTTTGCTGTGTAATGGTAATTTGCAGAGTTTGAATTAGCATCAATCCTGGACATATTGGTGCTATAGTAACGAGCGTTCTTAATGTTTGTTTGTTATTTGTTACGTAGAAGGCGAATTGTAGTTTTTATTGTAAATTAAGCTTCAAACCTTTGTTTGGAAAGGAAAAAGATTTTGGGTTACCAAGTGATCAGCAGTTGTTGAAGGTAGATGAAATATTAGGAGTTTTGAGATCCTGCTTCGTAACTACCATTCTCAAAATTTGATTTGGTGTGATATTGGTCCATTAGCGGCAGTTTACTCATTGTTTGGAAATTAGAGTTGGGACTATGATTCAAACTCTATCCCATTGCTTGGTCATTTATCTTAAAGGCCGCAAAGGAAGTTGTAGCTCGGGATGCTCTGAAATCTGAAATATTCTTACATTCCTCGCCTGTGCAAGAAATGCATTTTGTATTACACTTGTTAGGATTTTTGTTTAGCACGTGCACTGTGGTCTTCTTAATGTACTTTTATATCTGACCCTTAATTCCTTATGATAATTTCCTTAGGACATTGGAGGATGCGATATTCAAAAGCAGGAAATTCGTGAGGCAGTGGAACTACCCCTTACTCACCATGAACTATATAAACAAATTGGTATTGATCCTCCTCGAGGTGTATTACTGTATGGTCCCCCTGGCACTGGTAAAACAATGCTTGCCAAGGCTGTTGCCAATCATACCACTGCTGCCTTCATTAGAGTTGTTGGTTCTGAATTTGTGCAGAAGTATCTTGGCGAGGTATGATTCTTAATTCATCTGTGGTTGGAGTGATGTTGTAGTTTGTTATGCTGTCTTGGGTCATTTAAGAATATTGGTTTCATGTTTGTTTTTATTAATGTGATATTTCTCTTTGCATTGCAATGATATCTTCTCAGTTTGAGGATCATGTATACTTCATGGGTTCTCCTTCTGTCCATGATAATGGCTACTGTTCTTTGTTTAATTTACTGATTTCCAGATTTGAATTATCTTCACTGATTAAAGGAAACATATGGGGTAGCAATAATCTGTTGCAAAATCTTCAAATCCATTGGAAATTTTTCTGTTTTCAGGGTCCAAGGATGGTTCGTGATGTTTTTCGTCTTGCCAAAGAAAATGCTCCTGCAATTATATTTATTGACGAGGTTGATGCAATAGCTACTGCTCGATTTGATGCCCAAACTGGAGCAGACAGGGAAGTACAGCGTATTCTCATGGAACTTCTGAACCAGGTATCTATCATAAAATATTGCTTTCAATGCTGTGTGTGTCTCTAATATAATATGCTAGTTAGGTTTTTGACCTTTTTATGACTTTCTGGTTCTTCTGATTTTGTCTACTATTCCATGTTGGTTTTAGCTACTAACGTAATTCTATGTTAACTGTATTTCCTTATAATCAGATGGATGGATTTGACCAAACAGTGAATGTCAAAGTCATTATGGCTACTAACCGAGCTGATACGTTAGATCCTGCTCTTCTGCGTCCAGGAAGACTTGATCGCAAGATTGAATTCCCTTTGCCTGATAGGCGTCAAAAAAGGCTTGTATTTCAGGCAAGGCTTTCTGCATTTCATCTTGCTTTAATTTAATTCATGTTGGTGTTTTTGTTGATTAGGACAATACTTATTAGTAACAGATTTGACGGGGTTTTGTCTCTGCCAAAAGGACTTTAGAGAGGCTTGTTGCTAATCATATAGTGGTGTGCTTTTGGACAGGTTTGCACGGCCAAAATGAACTTGAGTGATGAGGTAGACCTAGAGGACTATGTTTCTCGGCCAGACAAAATTAGTGCTGCTGAGGTTTGTTTATCTCTTATGTTTTAATTTTCTTATGTTAATAATTTTATGGAAATACCAGTTTTCTTGTTATTAATTTCCTGATGTCAAGTGGCAAATAACTAATACCTCCATCTTTGAAACTCAAAAAAAAAAAAATGATCTGTCATCTTAAAAATTGATCTTTTTATTGAAAGTTTAGATAAGTTGGTTTCTGATGCTCGCCCGGGGTAAGTTGTAAGTTCTAAATATTTTTGTAAGTGCTTTTTGAATTGTGAGTCCTATCCTTACCTAATGAGATCTTGGAATTCAACTTACCTAAATGATTTTTATCTTTTATTCAAAGAAAAAGGTATCTAAAATGGTAGTTGTACGTGACCCAGACAAGTGTAGGGGATGTTATAGCATATGGAGTTATAAACTATTAGATCACTTTCTTGTACTTTCAATTAAATATCTTTTTGCATGTAGGGGAAGTAAAACTCATTGTTATCGATGTAGGAAGTGTTAAACTGTGAACGAAGACTTGCTCTGCTTAGCTGAAAATGTTTGACAACTAAAGTATGATACACAATTAAGCAAAATTCAGATAATGGAATCGTTTGGATGTATTTCCAGATAAACCTTTACCTGGAAAAAAGATAAATGGCATCGAAACAGTCACCATTGTTCATCTGCAAAAGATACTTATTAATTAATTAGAAGTTGACGATACAATTGTCTCCTTAGT